GACCGATTTGTGTACAGGTGATTAATATATTTCATTTCGAGTCCGCTTTGTTTTCTCTCATTATGGCTCACAAGATTAAGGATGTTAATGAATCTTTGGAGAAGATCAAGAGTGAGGCAAGTGGTTTAGGGCTTAGAGTTGGAGAAGTAGCTGGACCTGCAGAGTTGGTTACTTTGACGACTACCTTAAATAGAGAGACAGACTCTTTTCTTGATTCTTCAGAAGTTGTAGGAAGAAAACATGAGGTTTCCAAAATTGTAAGCTTACTTGTTGGGGCTAGCAGTAGACAAGATTTTTCTGTTATTACTATAGTGGGCATGGCGGGCTTGGGGAAGACTACTTTGGCTAAAATGGTGTGCAAGGAAGCAGAAAAGCAGAAACTCTTTGACGTCACCTTGTGGGTTTGTGTCTCTGATATTTTTGATGACAGAAAAATCTTAGGAGGAATTTTGCAATCGATTAATGTGAATGCGGGTGGACTTAGCAATATCGATGCGATAATTAAGCATCTATGCGAGAAGCTGAGAACCAAGAGGGTTCTTCTAATTCTGGATGATGTGTGGAACGAGGAATCTGGCAAGTGGGAAAGTTTGAGGCGCCGTTTGAGGATGATTAGTGAAAGTAGTGGCAACTGTGTTGTTGTTACAACTCGCAAGGAGCAGGTAGCCTCTATTATGGAGACTTCTCTTATGCATAGACATGATCCGAAGAAACTATCCGACAACGAATGCTGGTCCATAATCAAGGAGAAAGCATTTGGAGATGCCGACGCAAATGTACCTTACAACCTTGCTGTTATTGGCAAGGAGATTGCAGTTAAATGTGGAGGTCTGCCTCTAGTTGCCAAGGTTTTAGGAGGGACCATGCGCTTTAAAATAGAGGAAGCTGAATGGTTGTCAATTAAAAACAGTCGCTTGTGGGATTCAGTGGGAGAAAACAATGAAATTTTGCCTATATTAAAGCTAAGCTTTGATCATTTGCCGACAGCTTTTTTAAAGAGATGTTATGCCTATTGTGCAACTTTTCCCAAAGATTTTCTCATGAAAAAGGAGCAGTTGATTCAGCTGTGGATGGCTCAAGGATTTCTTCAAGAAGATCAAGCAAAAGATATCCACATGGAAGATGTTGGTGATGAGTATTTTAATATCTTGTTAACAAATTCCTTATTCCAAGATGTGGAAAGGAACGAACTTCGAGATATTGTTAGTTGCAAGATGCATGATGCTGTGCATGATCTTGCCCAGTTTGTTTCAAGATCTGAAACATTGATTCATGGAGATGATTCTAGTAAAGATATTTCTCACATCCGACATTTAAATCTCATTGATGATAAGGAGATATTGGTAAAACTAGGTCAGACTGGTGTTAAAACATTGCGAACTTTATTTTCAGAGGTTGATGTTTTTGATAAGCTTTCGTGGGCATTCAAAAGGTTGCGGGTTTTAAACCTTTCTGATTCTTACATCAGGACCTTGCCTGCTTCAATCAGGAAATTGAAGCACTTGAGGTATTTAAATCTGTCAGAAACTCCTATCAGTGTTCTACCAAGATCAATCACCGAACTCTACAACTTGCAGACGTTGATTCTGCTGCAATGCTATTTTCTTCAACAGCTTCCTAAGGGAGTGGAAAATTTAATTAGCTTGAGACAATTTTATTTTGACAGTCCAAATCTGGTGCCAGCTCTAATAGGGAGGTTAACTTCTCTTAGAGCATTGACAATGTTTG